GTACCCGGGTGGCCTCAATTGCTTTATCTTTTTCTTTCCATTCTCTTTTTTTTTTTTTACCAAAGGGCGGCAGTCTAGAGATATATCCACAGGTGACCGACACAAGGTGATTCAAAGGTTATTATCAGACATAACGGTGGATGCGGCTTGTTTTGAAACCCTAAAGGCAAAAAATACTCACGTCCGCAAACAAACCACGCGCCAACTCGAAATGAGCAATCCGTACTTTTTTGTTTTGTTTGTTTTCCCATGGCTGTCCGTACTTCCGTTGCCTTTTCGAACTCGGCCCGGTTTTATTTGCCGACACGTGTTTTTTTTTCACCTATTCGATTCTCAAAGGTGACATGACGGTAAGTTAGGATCAAGGTGAAGCGATTTGGACAAACGAAAATTCAATTAGACAACCATCAAACCGAATTGGTCAATTCGATATTTCTATTTAGTACATTATTAGAACCGATTTGGACAACCGATATAACTTTATCTAAGTTGGGAGAAGTGATGAGCATTTTGGACTAACCAGATTTAGGTTGGGAGAAATGACGAGCATTTTGGACATACCAGAAATAGGTTGGGAGAAATGATGATCATTTTGGACAAAAGGATTTAATCATTTAACAGTTTGGACGCTTGATAGAGTTAGGCAGATTGATTTAACAAATTAGTATTGCCAAAACCACATTTAGTCCAACAATCAACCGATTTGAGATTTTGCACAAACCATCGGGACAGAATAGGAGATCAAATTAGTGAAGGGATTTTGCATGTTAGTCACATGCGTCTGAATCATGGGCCTGCTGTTCCCGTAAACTGTCGACCTAGGTGGATGTGCGCAGCACACACGTGAGTGACGCGCGATTTTCTGTGGGGCCTACCAATTTATACGCTCGTCAGTCTAAATCGTTCGGTCCTTTGATATTGGGTACAGTGGGTCTGTCCAAGTTTCTAGAATACTTGTCCATATCGATTCACAAGGTGTCCGATTCTAATCTACGGTTCCAAGAAGCTTCTACAAAAATCTAAAACGTTCGGACTACTACATGCCCGATTCCAATCTCCCGGTCCAAGAAGCCTCTACGAAATTATAAATCGGTTCGCCGTTTCTCTAACCTAGGTGCGCTCACCTAAATTGATAAGAAAAAGAAACAATATGCTCTTGTTTATGGCTAGAACCCAACAGGGCCTGCCTATTTCGGGTCACCAGATGTCCAAATAGCGACAGTATGCATCGAACTTAACTGGTCAAAGGAGATTTATGGAATTTATGGAAGTTATTGTAGATTATATGTCAGGATCATGCCTTATTGAACATGCTTATCAAGCTTAATATGTCGTGACAGGGATGTTGAGAGCACTAGTTTCAAAAAAAAAAAAAAAAAAAAAGGAGAATTCTTAAGCCTCTGGAAGTATTGTGTAATTGGGGGTTTCAACCCTATAGGATACTCCTAGGTCATCTATTCCACACCTCGGCGATAACCCCTGAAGATGGCCAGTACACTGGCGGACCGGCTGAAACACCTGTAGGGTTACACCGCAAGCAGATCTTCATGGCAGCTATTGTGTTCGCGACGAGTACTTACTTTGTTGGGCTTCGCATTCAATTTTTCGAGTTGACGCGCTCGGGGGCTCTGACTATCTGTTTCATCCTTCTTCATCTCCTTCGTCTCTCTTTGGCTGTTGCTGTGTGTAGTCCATCATCTCACACTCTAGCCATGAATGTCAGCTATGATGTGATACTGGGTGAGAACTCAACCTGAGAGCACATTATTGGGTGTGTCCAGACTGGCCACTACAGGACCTGAGCAGGCACTTCCACTTGGCGCGATGGTCTCGCATTGCGGCACAACTCGCCCAGCGAGTTATCAGTGTTGATTGGCAAAGGCCCCCAATCCTCCTCCGCAGGCCACTGAAAGGGACGACAATGTGAATAGAATGCAGCTAGCCGAAGCCGACTAATGGCCCGGTACTCAGTCTTCACCAGTTGATGTATTTGGGACACTGGCCCCGGTTTCCGGCAGGTGCTGCTCCCCACCAATAGATTGGAGCATCCAGCGGTAGGTTACTAGGTGGAGGTGCTCTTATCATCCATTGTTGCATACTGTAACTGTGCAGACCAGAACAAGAACCGACCTCTCAATACAAAGTACAAGATAGCGCAGCGAAAAACTTAGATACCAATGATCCGAACAATCAATATTTCCCTTGTCAAAATGTCTGAATCCCAATGTCGAGTCTAGATCCAATGTCGTCAAGTATCAAGTCACAACTCTCTCTCTCTGTAGTAGTCCGCTGATACTGAGAAGTCAGGTGGCGAGAGGGGAAGAAGAGATGGTGGACTTAGAAGAGGAAGAAGAAGAACTCTCTCTCTCTCTCTCTCTCTCTCTCTCTCTCTCTCTCTCTCTCTCTCTCTCTCTCTCTCTCTCTCTCTCTCTCTCTCAGTCCGGTACTAACCTGACAGTGCGAAGTTGGCGCTTTGATGCAGGTACCTCGAAGATGGAGCTGGAGCTATGGCGCCACAGGTAAGTCTCACTGGCCTGCGTCAGCCATCTCTCCCAACGCTACCACTACCACCTACTAGCGCCCAGGCCTGAAGACTACCGCTATGGCTAATAGCGCCCAACGCTGAAGACTACTGCTAGCGCTAAGCTACTCTTGCAGCGCTCCTCCTGAGTGCTGCGGCCGAATTATGAAGACTACTTCTGCCTTCTGTCCAACTACCTACCCGTGAAGTGCATGGGAACTCCCTATGTACTACCCGGCCTGCCTCCTGACTGTAGGGCGAGGCAGTCCAGGAGGCTGCTCTTGCCAATGCCGAAGGGAGTCATGGGCTGCTGCTGCAGCTCCTGCTTGAGGCTGTCGTGGGAACAGGCTAAAGATAGCCTGTTCCCGAAACCCTGGTTTTCTGCCTGAGTGTTGGGATAGGTCGATCTTATGAGGGCCCGAAAGTGGCCCTCCGTTTCAGGCTGAAAAGCCTCAGGGCTGAAAAACCCTGTTTTAGGCTGAAACGACATAGGGCCTGCAGACCCTCGTTTTCTGTCTTTCAGGTTAAAACGACAAGGGCCTGTAAGCCCTTATTTCTAGGCTTTTAGGCTGGGAATGTGGGACGGGCCCTGCAGGCCCGTGTGGCTACGCAGTATGCCACCCCCCCCCTCCTTGAAAGACCGAGCTTACCTGCGAGGGCGAAGCTGTCTGTCTGAGGGAGGGACCTCAGTCCGGGTGGGAGGGGCAGGTTGTGAAGGTCCCTGAGCTAACCTTTGTCGCTCGTAGTGAGCGTAAATCAGCAGTGCGGATGCTTTCAAATCTATTCCTGAAATCCACCGAGTGTCGTCTAGATCGCATGCTTTGAATGTAACGTTGTACTGTCGAGGCTTGCTACCGTACTTGTGATCCGTGATGACGCGGTCAACTTCCTAATTACCATCCAAAGAAGGAGGGTCCTGCGATCGTTGGCCCGGGAAGTCGTTGTTCTTAGCTGGTGTGTATGTCACCAGCTTCGAGGCGTGAAAGACTAGATGGACCATCAGATGCGGGGGGATGTTGATCATAAATGAAGGGCCATCGGGCTCGTTGCCCGCGGCTGATGTTACAGGCCATGGTCCAAACCACTTGGGAAGCGGTTTGCGTGAAACATCCTGTTCCAGTGCATTCTCTTCCGCGGAGACCCAAACCAGATCACCGGCGCGGATGGGACATGGCACGCGACGCCTGTTAGCTTGCTGCTGCATGCGGACTTGAGCCTTTTGCATATTCGCGCGGGCTTGAGTCAGCGATTCCCTGTACTTCCGGACGGAAGCGGGAGAGCAAGCGGCATCGATGTCGGCTGGTCGTGGGAGGAGAAGGTCGGCGAAGATACGGCCTTTCCGTCCACCGTGGTGCAACTCGAAGGGAGTCACGCTGATCGTCGGGTGCACCGAAGTGTTGTAGGCGAACTCGATGTCGGGGAGGCGGTCAACCCAATCTTTCTGGTCCAGACGGATGAGCGTACGAAGCCTCATTTGAGTGGTTTGATGTGCCCGCTCCGTTTGCCCGTCCGTCTGTGGATGCCGAGCCAAACTTGGTTTCATCTTCGTGTCGGACTCCTACATGAGAGCAGTCCAAAATGCCGACATGAAGCGAGTGTCGCGGTCGCTGACTATGTCTTCCGGTACACCGTGGCCGCAAATCCAGCCGGTGTGCAAGAGACATGCCAGCTCGGGAGCCGTGGAGTAGTACTTGCAAGGGAAAAAACGCGCGTACTTACTCAAACGGTCCACAACCGTGAGGATGTCGTCGTGCCCGAGGCGATCGCAGGGAAATGGTCCAGTGACATCCATGGCAATGGAGAGGCCGGGTTGCCGTGGAATAGGCATCGGGCGCAACTCGTCGTAGGGATTGCGATTGCGGGGCTTGCTTCGTCGGCAAACTTCGCAAGAGTCGCAATACCGAGTGACATCGGTAATGAGGTTGGACCATCAGAATCGTTGTCGAAGCCGTGCAATGGTGCGGTCGACTCCGAAATGGCCGGCGAGTCGCGAATCATGATACTCGCCGAGAAGRCGAGTCCGAAGGCGACGGTCTCGTGGGACACATAGTAAGTCCTTGCCTCTCGAGTGGAGGAGCAAGTACCCGTCGGCAATGCGATAGTGGCTGGCCGGCGGGTGATCCGCAGATAGTTGCGCATACAACGTGGTGAAATCCGGATCAGACTCATAGCCCCCGATGAAGTGGCGTTGGAATTCCTCGTCGAATGCGAAGGCATAATGTGTCATACCGCAAAGATCAGGTCTTCGCGAGAGTGCATCTGCTGCGCGATTGGAAAAGCCGAGAGATGTTCCGGTGTGAAGTCAAATTGGTCGATGAAGTACATACATTGTCCGATCGTGCTTCTCACCGTATCCTGCGTCTTGTAGTAGGTCAATGGGTTGTTGTCCTTGACCCATATGAACCTACGACGCCCAAGGAGGAAGTGCCGCCATTGCTTGAGAGCCATCACGAACGCGAGCAGTTCCTTCTTCCTTGCATCATCAAGTGAATTGATGGGACACACTTTGTGGCTGAAATACTCACAGGGTGTCAATCGTCGTCGTCGTATTGTTCCAAGACTGCCCTAATGCCATAGCCGGAAGTCTCAGTTGTCACTCTCGTAGGCAGGGTGGGGTCATAGATGCTAAGGATGGGTGCCATGAGCATGGCCGTCTTAAGTGCTTGGAATGACCGGCGTGCGTCGTCATCGAATACGAATGGCATCTTTGGCAATTGTAATCTCGTCATAGGTGCGGCAATCCTTGAGTATCCGGTGATGAATCGCTGATAGTAGCCCACCAACCCCATGAATGAACGAACGTCCGTGGTGTTGGTGGGCTCGGGCCATATGCGGAGGACCTCGATCTTGTCCGCAAGCGGACGAATGCCTTGCGGCGTCACATAATGTCCCGAGTACTCCAGCTCCTGCCGCGCGAATTCACATTTGTCGCGGTTGGCTTTGTACTTGGCTTGTCGTAGCCGCTCCAAAACGTTGCGCAGGTGTTCCACATGCTCGTCCAAACTCCGGCTGTACACCAGGATGTCGTCGAGGTAGATAAGTACGAATCGATCCAGCATGTCTCGAAACTCCATTGTCATAGCCGCTTGGAAAGTGGCCGGGGCATTCGTAAGGCCAAATGGCATAACCAGTCATTCGAAATGTCCATATCGCGTCTTAAATGCGGTCTTGTAGCGGTCCTCCTGCCGAATCTCGAGTTGGTGATATCCCAACTTGAGGTCCAGCTTGGAGAAGAATTTGGCGCCGCCCAGCCATTCGAGAAGGTCGTCGATGCGTGGAAGAGGGCCGGCGTTTTTGATCGTTTGCGCGTTGAACTCGCGATAATCGATGCACAACCGCAAATCCTTGTTCTTCTTCCGAACGAAGAGAACGGGAGCACCGTATGGCGATGAGCTAGGCCGAATCCAACCTTTCTCCAGAAGGTCGTTGAGTTGTGCCCGTAGCACACTTAACTCTTCCTCGCTCATTCGGTAAATGCAACCACGCGGAGGTATAGCCCCATCCTCGAGGATGATCTCGTGGCGGATGGGCCGATCCGGTACTACTCCGTGATGGCCTTCGAACACGTCGCCGTAGGCGTCGAGAAGCTCGGTGATGCGTGGGTCCGAAGATGAGTCCGTCGATGAAGCGTCATGGGGCGGGAGGGCGTGGAGAAAACACACCCCCATCTCCTCGATGTCGTCTGTGATGATGAAAGCTCGCATGCTTGTGGCAGACACCATTTGGCAGCTGATCGAAGGGTGAGGAGGAGCTGCCGTGCATGGTACTAGTACTCCGTTCCGATCACGAACGTGAACGGTGCGGCGGTAGAAGTTCACCGGGTGATCCTCGCTTCACAACCATGACATGCCCAAGATCATGTCGAATTTGGTGTGCAAACTATCGAAGGACACCGCCTCGCTTGCATGCGGGGCAAAGTACACGAGGACGTCATTTATGCATCGGTCTATTGACTTGTGCGTGTGACCGTCCGCCAACGTGACTTGCGTTGGCTGGGACTTCCTCCGGACGCGTGGGCCAAGGCCGGCGCGTACCATAAAGTCTTGGCTCATGTAGTTGCGAGATGCTCCGCAATCGATCAAAGCGCTGCAGGTCGCCTCTCCGATCTGAATGCGTACATATAACAATGGTGCGTCAATGTCATCGTACCGTTGTGTCTTGAAATCGCGGTCCATCTTCGCAATGTAGGCGTGAAGGTCGACAACCTCTACTCCGGCGTCCATCAACGGAGTTGGTACTGCAGTGTGCAAGTAATCCCGCAATTGTGCCATGAGCACGTTGCAATGCGGTTTCGGCAATCGACCAGACCAGGGAAGGGGCATCCATTGGAACTCCGCAAATGTCAACGGGTCGAGCTCTTCAAGTCTTGACCATAACGTTGAATCCCCGACGGTAGATGGCGGCGAAGCTGCCGAATCGGTTGCGGATGGTAATAAAACCGTGCATGCGGTAGATTGTTGCACGTGGAGCGGTTGGTCCAACAGTGGGACCAAGTGGACAGCATAATCCTCGTAAGTGAACCGAGGACTTGCGACATGCGCATCCTCCCCAGATGTGTATTCGGCCGCTAGCCAAGCGGCCGAATCTGGCGGAGTGAGAGGTGGAGTCGCCTCACCTCCTGCGCAACTTAGTTTCCCGAGTTGATACGAGGCCGAACATCCTCCTTGCCTTGTCGATGATTTCGGCGAAGGTTGTGTATTGCTCGCGATCACCAAGTGCGAGGCTCAAGGCGGCACATGACCGGTTGTAGAACTCCCGACGCAGATGCGAAAATGGCAAGTCAAGATCGGGCGTTGCCGCAATCTTTTGCCATTCCGTGACCCAATCGCGTGTCAATGTGTTGCCTTGGGTCATGGCGAAGAGGTGGTTGATGGCGAGCGCCGGGGCGTCGTCAACGATGAACCGCTTCTTCCATAGTTTTGTCAATTCTTCCCAAGAGATCTTCTCATGAAGATCGGCGACCTGGACGCCGTGAATGGATGTCAGGTGGCTGAGCCAGATCTGGCAACCTCCCTTTGAGTTGAGGAACAGCGCGCCGATGTACGAGTGCTCAGGCACAAAAAGAATCCGAAGTTTCGTCGTAAAGCCCTCCCACCAGGGGACCGGGTCTTGATGCGTATAGTCATCGAACTTTTCGATGCGGAATGTCGGCATCTTGTAGTGCTGCGCACTTGTCTTGCCATTGTTGTTGGGCAGCTGGTGCAGTTGCTGAACCTCGGTCTTCAAGGTGTCCAGCTGCTTGCTGATGGTCGCCGGTGCAGCGAAGGTACTGATGTCGCCGAGAATTGCGACTACGTGGTCAACTCATTCCTCCAACTGGCGGCTAGAGGGTGCACTGCTGGTCTCGCCAGCATTGGGTCTTGGTGCAAATTGCTCCAAGTCCTGTACACGTGAGTCGAGTGCCTGTGCTGCATCCTCGTGCTGAGCGTTGTGGTTCCGCGCAGCCCGCTGGAGGTTCGCCAGCTCAGATTGCAGGTGGTTTTAAGTGTAAACCAACCTGGTTATGAGCTTGGCCATGAATTCCTTATGCTGTTCCTCCGGTGTCGCGTCATCGTGCTCCTCGGATGGTTCAAAATGCCAAAACTTGAGCCTTTTAATGCTGGTGGCTTCATGCCACTGTAGCAGATCCTGGGCTTCCTTGCGGCGTGCCTGGGTATCTGCTTCTGCTTCGGCCTGAAGCCGCTGCTTCTCAGCTGTTGCCGCCGCTTCAGCCTGTAGGCGGACAGCCTCGGCTGACAGCTGGCGTTGTTCCTCAGCTGCGATTAGTGCGAGCTGAGTTTCAAAACGCTGTCGGTACTCGGCAATGGACTCATTTGCCAGTTGGCCTGGCATGCCCAGAACTGAGCCCGTCATGGTGGCGGGGCACTGCTGACATGGCACTGTGGCACTGCTGACGTGGGACTGCTGCTGACGTGGCACTGCTGATGTGGCACTGTGGCTGACGTGGCACTGTTGCTGATGTGGCACTGCTGACGTGGCACTGCTGACATGGCACTGTGGCTGACGTGGCACTGCTGGCGTGGCACTGTACCAACCCGGAAATGCATGCAAAGGGGTGGGTGGGAGGGAAAACGCAGGTAGGGAACCAACCCAACAATACTTTCCTCCCGGCC